CTCATACAACCTACTGCCTCAAGGTAGACTATCAGCATCAATCTCACCTATGCATTATGACATTCACTTGGCACCTATGCGCTATGTCAAGCTATGACACACAGATTGTCTAAGAGTACAAATGTACTGCAATCATCACCACACAACTATTCTGTCCCTCACATGCACAATCACACATTTGACGCTATCAATCTGTAGAGCCACGCGCACTACTGCGACATTTGGGCACTAACACCTATGACCAACACATTTACACATGCCAACACAGTGTTGCACATAGCCACCCAAGTTCAGCATCATGTGTACTCGTGCATTCATGCCGAGCTACTCGAGGGACTAGGCGCTAATGGCAGCAGATGCTCTATGCGCATAGCACATGCCAATAATCGACATGTAATCAGTTAAGCACTCGCACCGCTGTAATGGCACACCGTACAATCATCTTCTTATGCTAGATATAAATACACAATGCACTATCACCATTCCACTAATGCAGATGCCTACGCACTCCCCACTATGCACTATCAGTATGACACTACACATCACTATGGCACAAGTGCACTAGGCACTATCCGTACCCAGTAATCACTATAGCATGAGCATCTTCAGGGTTGTACGAAACTAATACAATATCACATCAATATCTGCATCACACCACTAGCACTGTGCGATATGCGCGTATAGGCGATCATAGCACAAGGCCTTAATTCACGCGAGTTCCCTTGTGAAGGCGCGGTGACGGTGCAGCATGACTTCTTAGCTGATAGACAGTCGTATCATCAAGTGCAACCATCACTACGTGCAGCTGATCAGCTGATCAGATATCCATAGCCATCCCATGAGCAGTACTATCACCCTTTAGCACTATGCACAAGCTTCGTTAACAGGCACCATGCACCATGCACCATGCACTATGCACATGACCATTGCACTCATGCACTAGAACTATTGCCACTCTGCACTATGCACTACAGTGTTCACTACCACCATGGCCCGAGCTAATGCATAGTTGTGTTCAGAGAGTAATGCCAACATGCATATTGCGCACTCAAGCACATGCGCTATCCCTAGGCACTAGCACTACACTCTGCAATCATGCACTACAGGTAGTATCTATGCACGATCATGGGGAATGCACAATACACTTGCCATCACTAAGCAACCTATGCACCAATGCACTATGCACTATGCACATATGCACTAATGCACTAAGCCTATCACTATGACGTTAGCACCTACACTATGCACTATGCCCTATCCCTCACTATGCACTATGCCATGCACTCTCACTAGTGCACTATCAACTAAGGCACATGCACTACACCCTGCACCATGCCCCATGCACATCACTATCACTCTGGCTATGCACTATGCACTTCACTGCTGCACATGCACTATCAGTGGTGCACATGTCACTATCACTATGCATTAGCATATCCACATCTACTACAATGTAATGCACTATGGCACATCACGAATGCACTATGCATCTACATGCACTATGCAGTTACTGGCATATGCCACTATGCACCATGCACGTATGCACTATGCAGCTGTGCACTATGCACAATCACTATCACTAGCAGTGTAGCATCATGCACTATCAGCTATGCATCTGCATACACATGCACTAAGCACTATGCAGACCAGCCGCTAACTCAACGTATGCCACTATCACTGAGCACCTCTGCCCAGCACTACAGTGTATGCACTAACACCTAGGCACTATGCCTATCACCAGCACAGGCACTAATGCACTATGCACCATGCACCATCACCTGCACCATGCACTATGCACATGCACCAATAATATCAATATGCACTAATGCACTATGCGCTAGTCAACGATGCAATATCACTATCACCATGCACAATGACATGCACGCTATGCAGTATGCAGTATGGCACTATGCACTATGCACATGCACCATGCACCATGCACCAATGCACCATCACTCGCACTATCAACTCTGCGTATGGCACTATGCACTAGCACACTAGAGCCACTATGCACTACGAGCAGTGAGTAATCCGCACACGGATTCTACAGACACTAAAACAGAATATATATGACATTATGTCACTATGTCCAGAGATTCAAGCTGCACCATGGCGCTACTACACTCAGTGTCACCCTTATGGTGCACGACGATGTATTGCAGCGAATGCATCCTGCGAGCGTCAGAAACTATGAACACTATGTAACATACACATAGATCATCCAAAAACACATATCTCATATAAGACAAAAAAAGCAATTCCACTTGAAATCCAATAAGCACGAACGGCAACTCAACGCGATCCATACACACGAATGCACTATCAGTCTGAATCCATGGTGTATTAAACGTAATAGCGCAGGTGGGCTCATCAGTAAGCACCATCCGTCTGCTACACCTGATTCGCGGTTTGAGGAAAAGATCTTAAACTTATGCTCTAAAAAAATTTTGACACTTTAATGACACTAATTCCACATAAAATAACACTGTTCTTTTTAGTTTATTTAATTATTTTTATTTTAATGTTTTATCTTTTTATTTCTTATTATTTTCACTGTTTGAGATGGGATGGTGATGGATGGCCGATGGGATGGCATGGAATGGGCAATGGGAGGCGGGGAAAGGCATGGGAGGTATGGGATGGGAATGGGAGGCGGTGCGGATGCATGGATGGGATGGGATGGGATGATGGAGGGGATGGATGGATGGCATCAGGAGTGGCATGCATTGGCATGGGATGCAGGCTGGACATGTGATGAGATGGGATGGATGGGATGGGAAATGGGATGGGATGCGGCGCGATGGGATTGTGGATGCATGGCAATGAATGCGGATGGATGGATGTGATGCATGGATGGAGTGATGGATAGATAGAGTAGTTAGATTTTGGGGGTATTTTCCTTTGCACCAAGGCGCGGTCACCAGCTGAGTACACCGCCCACTGATTTCCCCGGCAAAACGCCGGGTATCCCGGTTGCAGATATATAGTATAACGTGAGAGAACATAAGCACTTAACAAGAATTTATCGCTGAGGGGTCTATGTCCGCCATAGGGTACTGCCGGAAACGTACGCCTGGAGCCTTATCTAAATGCCGGACCGTACTCGCCTACTCCACTAAACGAGTCTAGGGAGTCGCCTACGCCTACTCCCTAACCCTAACCCTAACCCTAACCCTAATCCTAACCCTAACCCTAACCCTAACCCTAACCATATCAGATAGTTACCAGGGTACATTCCGGTATACCGGACCGTACCCAGGGTACGTTACGGCAGTACTCTGGGGGACATAGACCCTATGAGCAGTATGATCCTATCTTGATGTTACGCACGAAGGAAACGTACGTTACGAAAAACGTCACATGCTCGCACGTGTCCAAACATGATCGCAGAAACAAGGTTCAGTCTGTTTAAACATGGAATGAGAGCCGCGTATGCGTGCATGCGTGCGTTCCGCGCGTGTCCGCGCACGCGGTCATCTTGCAAGTGAATTTTTTCTCTGTACGAAATGGCCAAGTCAGTAGAGGCTGCCAGCCAGTACACAATCTGGCTACGTTAGTGTGCTAGCACATGCGCAATATCTCACCAGAGAAATTATATTTTGTGATGAATATGCATTTAATATGGTAAGGGGGTATCTCAGCATAGATTTCACTAATAAATTTGTATCAGTATACCTGTGTTTATAATTAGGAGAGCGCCCTAGCCTAGCTGTAGGGTACCAAACACCTACTTGATGCCCTCGCGTCCTTCCCCTTGCCTCCTCTGTCCCTGGCCCAGCCTCGCTCTTCTTCTACCGCCCCAGATATCTTCCCTGCCGCCTTTCCTCAGTCTCCCACCCCCTTTCTCACTCAGCAAACAATATTTTGAAGTTTTCTTCAGACGGTACTGCCCGCCTGAAACGGTGCGCGCGCATGCGCAATATCTCCCGAGCAGAATCATATTTAGCAAAGATTATGCATTTAAAATGAAGAGGAGTTATCCTAGCATAGATTTATATGATAACATTCCATCAGTAGACATCACTTAAGAAATAGGAGGAATACATTGCATGTAAGGTCCCTGCTGCGTATACCAGCCAGTACACAATCTGGCTACGTTAGTGTGTTAGCGCATGCCCAATATCTCACCAGAGGAGTTATATTTTGTGATGAATATGCATTTAATATGGTAAGGGGGTATCTCAGCATAGATTTCACTAATAAATTTGTATCAGTAGACCTGTGTTTGTAATTAGGAGAGCGCCCTAGCCTAGCTGTAGGGTACAAAACACCTACTTGATGCTCTCGCGTCCTTCCCCTTGCCTCCCCTGTCCCTGGCCCAGCCTCGCTCTTTTTCTACCGCCCCCCGCTATCCTCCCTGCCGCCTTTCCTCAGTCCTCCACCCCCTTTGTCCCTCAGCCAGCAATGTTTTGAAGTTTTCTTCAGACGGTACTGCACGCCTGAAATAGTGCGCGCGCATGCGCAATATCTCCCGAAAAGAATCATATTTTGCAAAGATTATGCATTTAAAATGAAGATCGAGGGGTTATCTTATCATAGATTTATATGATAAAATTCCATCAGTAGACATCTAATATAACAAAACCTATATAACAAAACCTAATATAAAACCTATATAAATCGAAGGAGGATCTTGCATGTAAGGTCCCCGCTGCGTATACATGCAGCCAGCAGAGCCGTATATAGAGAGTTATCTATAATGTCAGGAGTGAATAATATAATAATTATTCATAATAATATAGATAAGCTCTCTTTATACGGCTATGGAGGCGGGAACACAGATCTATATAGGTTCGAATCCTACTGTGGGAAAATTGTTTTACGTTTAATTTTTGCCATTTAATTTTGTAATTCCTAATGTCCCTGATGTTGTTCTGTTATTTATAAAGCTCATAATGTAATATATTCGGTAGTATATATTATTTTCTAGTGTATAGAATAGTGCATGAAATGATAAATACCGTTGCGCAATATATTCCAGATTTTCCTAACAACCAATATGGCAGCTTACAGGTTACGTGTTCCTTCAGTAAATGTTGAAGATAGGTACTTAAAACTAGGTGCATGATCCCATTAGTGCTTTTAAATTACATGAATTATATTAGCAAAAACGTTTCGTTTATAACTTAGTAGGTAGAATGATGTTGATGAACTGAATAAATAATTGATCAAGTTTGAAGTTATTACAATTTACATTGCAAAATCGTATATTATTATTGTCAAATTCTAACTCTAGACTAGTAGTAAAGTCATTGATGGAGTCGGATGTTTGACTACATGCATGGATTGTAATTTATATATTCGTGCGTGTTTAAAATACATACTTGCTTTCTTTGCATCATAGTGTCCTTGATGAAGTTGAGACCCTTCAAGCAATATACATACACGAGCTAGAGGTTAACACTGATGAAAGGTTAGGGTGGTGCATGTAGCTCTAGTACTATAGCCCACGTACAGTTGCCGCAGGGCTATAGAACATTCTATTACGAATGCTAGGGACCAACTTAATTGCTGACTGGTGCTGCTGCAGCACCACCAAAAATGGTCGTTTGAAGTTCGTAAATAATGTTCGTTTACAAGAAATACCGCAAGCAGACCATTTCAACGAGTTAGAAGTTAAATTTTAGTAGCTGATATAACTTGAGAAATATTCACTTCGGATAAGAGGCATTAATTGCCTACCACAGACGTTTTATAGCCGCGAGTAACCATGAATAAATAGGTCCCTAGCATTCGTAATAGAATGTTCTATAGCCCTGCAGCAACTGTATGTGGGCTATAGTACTAGAGCTAAGGGTGGGGAGGTGACATTGTACAGTGTATTTGAACACTGTTGTAGCTGCAAACTGCTTTGCGCTACTGAATTAAATCAGTCAAACTAGCATCCAGAAGCTGAGTAATTAAACTATTCTCATCAAGCTGTGCGTTTTCAGATGAATGACCAGTTGCATAATGCTAGATAAGTGTAATCATATGCTGTCTGATTTGATATCAGTACTAATCAGTCCCAACCAGTTTTTGCCTCAGGATCAGTAATAGATCACCTACTATTTTAACAACAGATCCAGACAGATTAGTATATATAGTAATTTTGCGAGGTGGAATGTTATATGAACCTATATATGTCAATGCAACGACATTCTAACTGCTAACTGGTTTGATTTGTGAATAGCAATATAAAGTCAGCAATCAATTTTATCCAGTGGCCGACCAAAACGAGTAAGGATTCAACTGCACCCCGCTACAGCAGATAATGTGGACTTGCAATACGTCACAGTCATGCTGGTTATTGAACTACCACAACAGGTATGAATTGAAGGAGCCATATACCTATTTAACTATTGTATTAATTGGAGGGGGGTTGTTGATGGGGAATGATGGTCGAAGGCGTATAGTGTATCTCTATGTTACATAATAGAACTGCAGTTTTGTAACATTACAATATGTTTATGTTAAAAGTAAATTCAAAGTAAAAGTTCCTGCTATTTCTGTATCTTCTAAGGGTTAAAAATTACACTGTAAAAAATATGTTGCTGTAGTTTCTCGAAACTTACTAAGTACATCATAGGCAAGGGTTAGCCATCGGTTATCCAGAGAAACCCTTGAAAATGCCATATTTGGCATTCTAAATTGAGCAAGTTTTCTGTGGGGGCAAACCCCTGCTGCCACTTAGCACTTTTGACATTTGTATTTGGAACCAATATTGTTAAGGGTAACTTCCACAAAGCCCCTCTACGAATATTTTATCTCTTGCCCATGCCTGGACCTCCCATAACTTTTTTCGTTTATTGTAGTTTTTAAATTTTCTTTTAACTGCATGTTCATCTGTCATAGTATCCTGATGTGCCAGCAGAAGTAAGGTTACAGTCACCAAGAGGTCTTGCTGAGGATGTCTTAAAAAGGTATATAAGTTTTTATTTAAGTTTGCTTCATGAAGGATTTTGAGTGTACAGCCAAACCATTTTAATTACACTGAAAATTATTCTATTGTAAATGTAAAGTTTCAGTACAAAATTGATGAGTTAAACCTGATTTGCACTCTATCCTAACACCCAAATAACGATGAATGCAAGTCAAGATCTCAGCCTAGGAATGTCGTATAGACAAAATCGACACAATATCAACTCATGTTTCATTTGCATATAATATAAGATTTTTTGCTTAAATTGTGGAATGGTTATCTTCTCTTGATATCTATACCCTACATATATATATAACACTAGCTGCGGGTACCCGCTGCGCTGGGTAAAATCGTGCTACTAATTCATACTACTATACTAATAATGGGACACAGTAGGAACATTGGGTAAACATGGACAATGACATTGCACCCAATATCAATATTTAAAAAGCGGGCTAATAAGATAATAAGCATGTGGAGAAACTG